TTTCAATTTGCCTAACGACGGGGGAGTTTTCGAGAGCAGTCGGAACAGCAAATCTCGTTCGTAAGATGAATAGGCGTACGTGTGTGCATATGTGTACATGTACGTATGTGTACGTGTGTGTGTATATATGTATATATATATATATTTTTTATAATTTCTAATATATTATTTTACATATACATATATAATTATTATATAAAAAATCAAGAGATTATACAATTTTAAAAATTTATATGTGACATAATTAAAATAATACATTTTTCACATTTTTCAAATGTTACAGAGGGGATTGATGCAACGATTGATCGATTTACCAAAATCTGTTGAGGGATTAATGGCTAAAGAAAAAGCTCGATATACATATATAATTATTATATAAAAAATCAAGAGATTATACAATTTTAAAAATTTATATGTGACATAATTAAAATAAATTTTTTTTTACATTTTTCAAATGTTACAGAGGGGATTGATGCAACGATTGATCGATTTACCAAAATCTGTTGAGGGATTAATGGCTAAAGATGTGTATGAAAAAGCTCGTGCATATGCATTAGATAGAAATAGCTTTGGTATTGTACAAGACATATATTCCAAGATTTTTAATATGGTAAGAATTATAAAAAAAATTGTTGACAAATTGTGTTCTCTTGATTATAATCAAGGAAAATTTTTATAATAGTCATTAATTTTCTGCTTGAGTTATATAATACATTGGTTTTATAGATAATCTTAATAGCTTATGGTTATTATCATACTTGGCAATGGAGTATTGAAATAGCTAAGTATTGCGGCATTAATTATGAGAATGACATATTGCTAAGCGCAATATGTATGTTTATTATAAATATTATCTCTCACATAATTAATCTGCCATTAGTGATATATGATACTTTTGTTTTGGAAGAGAAACACGGTTTTAATAAACAGGTAAAACTCTTTATGTAACATTTTCCATTTCTTATTAAACAAACAATAATTTGAAATTAAGTGAGAATCTCTTAATTATTAAATGTGATAATGTTTATTTTCAGACAACTGCATTTTTTATTAAAGATGAAATTAAAAAATTTGTTGTATCTCAAATTATCGCATTGCCTCTTCTGTGTGGTATGATTTGGATTGTGAAAAATGGTGGTGATTATTTCTTCTGGTATTTATGGATATTATCAGTGGTAGTTTCACTATTTATGATGATCCTATACCCGGAAGTAATAGCCCCATTGTTTGATAAGTATTTGCCATTACCAGATGGCGAATTGAAGCAAAAAATTGAAGAATTGGCAGCTTCTTTAAAGTTTCCCTTATACAAGCTGTTTATAGTTGAGGGTTCTAAAAGATCGTCGCACAGCAATGCCTATCTGTATGGTTTTCACAAACATAAGAGAATTGTTCTTTTTGATACTCTTATTAAGGGTTATTGTAAGAAAGATGATAGTGATGCTAATAAAGATTGCGGCTGTGAAACAAACGAGATACTAGCAGTTCTTGCGCATGAATTGGGTCATTGGAAACATAATCATACCCTGAAAGGATTTCTGCTCAGCCAGGTAAATATCATAAAATATTTTTAAATCTATTTGTATCTTATTTTGGTGTTACTTAATAGCCTAATAATTGTTATGTTGCCTATCAATTTAAAATACTACTTATTAATAAATTGTTTAATAGTTTTTACATTTCTTGATATATAGAGTGTCCTAAATTTAAATGTCAAAACTTCGGAAACATATGGGGAACCGATAAACTAAAAAAAAAATATGTATATATATATATATTTTTTATAATTTCTAATATATTATTTTACATATACATATATAATTATTATATAAAAAATCAAGAGATTATACAATTTTAAAAATTTATATGTGACATAATTAAAATAAATTTTTTTTTACATTTTTCAAATGTTACAGAGGGGATTGATGCAACGATTGATCGATTTACCAAAATCTGTTGAGGGATTAATGGCTAAAGATGTGTATGAAAAAGCTCGTGCATATGCATTAGATAGAAATAGCTTTGGTATTGTACAAGACATATATTCCAAGATTTTTAATATGGTAAGAATTATAAAAAAAATTGTTGACAAATTGTGTTCTCTTGATTATAATCAAGGAAAATTTTTATAATAGTCATTAATTTTCTGCTTGAGTTATATAATACATTGGTTTTATAGATAATCTTAATAGCTTATGGTTATTATCATACTTGGCAATGGAGTATTGAAATAGCTAAGTATTGCGGCATTAATTATGAGAATGACATATTGCTAAGCGCAATATGTATGTTTATTATAAATATTATCTCTCACATAATTAATCTGCCATTAGTGATATATGATACTTTTGTTTTGGAAGAGAAACACGGTTTTAATAAACAGGTAAAACTCTTTATGTAACATTTTCCATTTCTTATTAAACAAACAATAATTTGAAATTAAGTGAGAATCTCTTAATTATTAAATGTGATAATGTTTATTTTCAGACAACTGCATTTTTTATTAAAGATGAAATTAAAAAATTTGTTGTATCTCAAATTATCGCATTGCCTCTTCTGTGTGGTATGATTTGGATTGTGAAAAATGGTGGTGATTATTTCTTCTGGTATTTATGGATATTATCAGTGGTAGTTTCACTATTTATGATGATCCTATACCCGGAAGTAATAGCCCCATTGTTTGATAAGTATTCGCCATTACCAGATGGCGAATTGAAGCAAAAAATTGAAGAATTGGCAGCTTCTTTAAAGTTTCCCTTATACAAGCTGTTTATAGTTGAGGGTTCTAAAAGATCGTCGCACAGCAATGCCTATCTGTATGGTTTTCACAAACATAAGAGAATTGTTCTTTTTGATACTCTTATTAAGGGTTATTGTAAGAAAGATGATAGTGATGCTAATAAAGATTGCGGCTGTGAAACAAACGAGATACTAGCAGTTCTTGCGCATGAATTGGGTCATTGGAAACATAATCATACCCTGAAAGGATTTCTGCTCAGCCAGGTAAATATCATAAAATATTTTTAAATCTATTTGTATCTTATTTTGGTGTTACTTAATAGCCTAATAATTGTTATGTTGCCTATCAATTTAAAATACTACTTATTAATAAATTGTTTAATAGTTTTTACATTTCTTGATATATAGAGTGTCCTAAATTTAAATGTCAAAACTTCGGAAACATATGGGGAACCGATAAACTAAAAAAAAAATATCTTTTTCTTCTTTCAGATAACGTTTGTAGCCAATTTTGTTATGTTTGCAAAACTCTTACGATATACACCAATGTATAACGCTTTCGGTTTTGTGGACTCCCAGCCTATCTTTATTGGTCTAATTATAGTAACAATGTATATTTTAATACCATTGAATACAGTAAGCACTCAAACATTTTTTTTATTGGGATTCTTATTGCACATCAAATAAATTTATAAAATAATATTTATTCAAATCTTTTTGTAATTTTCAGATCTTTAATTTTGTTAGCGTAGTGATTGGCCGAAGATTTGAATTTCAAGCAGACGAATTCGCTACGAGACTAGGTCACGGCGAGGCTTTGAAAGCAGCTTTGTTAAAATTACAAAAGGACAATTTGGGATATCCCTTGTTCGACAAATTGTATTCCAGTTGGCATCATTCGCATCCGCCTATCATCGAGCGTTTGGAAGCGATAGATAAAAAAAAATGAGACTTGAAGTCTTTCAATTCACATGATTGTCATAACTAATTTTCAGACGTAAAAGATGAAGTTCATAGTATACGGGTATTGATTGTATTTAAATTGTTTTAGTATTTTATAGATTTTTTTTAAATTCAATTTTATTTTGTTTTCTCAAAATAGCGAACGTAAACATAGCTACAAGACAATTATGCTTCCTGTTTCTCATAATGTTAATATGATCATTCAACATCCTATTTTTGCTTCTATATCCACTCGTTAAAATTTACTCTAATTAGAATAAGAGAATAGACTTTTGATTGTATTTTACTATCGTTCAATGTTTTTATATACTACGTGTATATTTTCCTATAGCTTTGCATTTGATATTTATATGTATGAACGTTTTTCTAATACCATTTATACATATATCGGATTTGTTGTAAATGATGATCGCGGTATTTTGTAAGATATTTTCTCTATATTTATAGAGATTTATCCAATTAAAATATTTCACATATACTTCATTTTTTTTCAAAGACAAAATGATCTTTGTATTTTATTTACTGTTAGACCTTGTGTATTACTATTAAGATCATTATATTATCATGTATGATTACAACAAATTATGTTTATCATATATGCATACAAATTCTAAAGGCTACAATATATTAAAGTATACTTCCGTATGTAATAAAATGTAAATTTTGAAATTAATATTCCGCTTAACATTTTTTTTTATAATACAGGAATTTGTAAAAATATATTATGCTTTTGAATAATTCACGTATTTATTCTTGTTAATAAGCATTACAGTTTTTTTTTCTTTTTAATATAACAACGTTTTTAAAACGCATATTGAAGAAGACATTATTTAAAATTTTCATATATTCCTCTAATATAATCCAATTCACAATATATATGACAATATTAAAGGAAAGATAATATATCTGGTCTCACCTCTTCTATAATAGCGCATGCATTTCTATTATACTATATTCTCTGTCCTTATATATGTGTGTATATATATATATATATATATATATATGTGTGTGTGTGTGTGTGTGTGTGTGTGTGTGTGTGTTTTTATATTATGCATATATACAAAGTGTCAGGCAATTAATATTTAAATATCTCTGTTGCTTATAAAAAATAGAAAAAAATGTTTGAGGGAAATGTTGCACAAAGGGAACAAATATAATAATAGAAGAAACTAAATATAATGACACAAATTTTTCATCGAGATTTATTTTTAAAAGATTTCAAGGTTTATATCTGTTTTAGAATGAAATTATATGTTTTGTTTTTTAATTAAAAGTCGTTATAAAGTCATAAAGTTAAAAATTCGCCATTTGGAGGTACAACTTGTATTATAATGATAGAATGTCGTTGATTGATTCTATTCATTTTATACTGTATGAAAAATTTTAACGAATATTTTAGTAGAAGAATATAAAAACTCTTCATAAGATATTTTATATTTTATATCGCAACATGTTAAAATAAATTATGAAAGAATTTGTTTATTTTTAATGATTTTACTTCAATATTTTTATATACAGATTGATGAGAAAGAACGATTTGTGTAAAAAAAAAACATTATTTTGTTTAAAAATACATCCATGACTGAAATCTAATAAAAATAAGGATAAATTTGTTCCATCATTATATTTGCCCCTTCGAATAATTTTTTTCCAAGAGACATTTTTTCTATATTTAAAAATATTAGGGATGTATAAATATATTTTCCTAGTTATTCTAAAAGATATATATAAATTTATCAGAACCTGACAGCAGGTTGACAGCAAAAACTGGAGCAAGATTTGCGCGCGCAATCTGCTGTTAGATTATATCAACAGACTCTGTTACAGTTCTGTTGACAAAAATTTTTATTGTATATAGAAATTTGGCAAAATCTTGAACATACTGGGCTCACAGGCAGAAAATACGTAACAAAATAAAGATCGAGTATACATATATAGTATATATACATATATAGTATATATATATATATCTTTCTCAACATTTTGTCAAGTTTCTGTATACAACGATACAAATTTTTGTCAACAGAACTGTAACAGAGTCTGCTGATATAATCTAACAGCAGATTGCGCGCGCAAATCTTGCTCAATTTTTGCTGTCAGGTTCTGATAAACAACATTCATCTGATTATGCGAACACAGTTGATACAAATTTGCTAACAATTTGTGAGTAAATGTGACGCCAATCTTGCGTGCTTTTTGCTTACTAAGAGAGTATATTGAAGGAGTATATACTGATATTTGTACATCAAGAAATGATTTAATATCTTTTATAAGCATTTTTTGATCAATCATATTACCCTATTTAATCTCAGAACATATATCTATTATATATAATTACCGTAACCAATTATAATAAGTGATAAAAATTAAAAATTTATGCTTATAATGCTAAAATAAAAGAAACAATGTTAGGTATAACTATATTTTGCTGTTTCATCAAATTAAAAAAAAAAAAATTGAATTTGATGCATTTTATGTTTCATCGTATTGTTCTTTGTGTGTGTGTGTGTGAGCGAGAGAGAAAGAGAGAAAAATTGTGAATTATTTTCATAATCCAAAATATCACTACAAATAACGTAGCAATCTCCGAGATGTAATAATTTGAAAATTCTTTCAGTGGTCATATATGTACAATACACCAATCACAAGTTCTCATTTAATTTATTTTATAGCCAAAATTGATATATACGAAAAAAAAATCCGAAACATGTCAATTTTGTTTTCAAGGAATTCGATCATGCTACTTTGTCGCTTTCATTGAAATAATTCTCCCTTCAAAAATATTAGCAATAAATGTATAAATATCTTAACTAAAGGAATGAAAAATAACAGTTGAATTTATTATAATATTATGTACCTCCTATATCCTCGAAAAAAATGATTTTTTTTTTCGTATAAATCAGTTCGCTACAAAATAAACGTAATGAACACTTTTCGTTGGCCCCCCACTCTGTGTATATTCTCTTATTTTAATTTTTTTGCGATTAATATCACAAAAGCAAAATTGTGTATTATCAATACTTACCTATATTATAGACCTGTAGTTTTATACTGCCTGTGCACATAAGATAATTTATGAAGTTATAAAGTATATAATTATGCATGTGTGTGATCTCGCGCACGCGTGAGAAAAAAAGAGGAGTAAAGAAACATCCTTAACAGCACGCATGTTCAAAAGACGTTCAGAGGATGTAAAATATATGTAAAACATCCTCTAGACGTCTTTCAAACATATGTGTTGTTAGGAATATATCTATAATATTATAATTACACGATATTAGGCTTTTCACGAAATTTTTGCTAAAGAAAAGTTGTGATAATTCATCAAAGATTATTACTTTGTTCTTAAGCTTTTCTGAATCACTCTGCATATATTCTGTTTAAGTATTTCTTTTATATGCGCGCAACACACACACATACACACAAAACACATACATATGTCTTATTCAGTTAAATAATATAGTGATAGTTCACTATTTTCTAGATACTTGAGCATTTATAGCAATGCTAATATAAAATTCTAAAGTATATTAAATAAATTAAAGCTTTATATGCAGTAAAATGAATTTACAATTATTCAATCTATTATTCCGTACAATTATCAATCTGTTTCTATTATACATGGCGTCTACTCCCTGGAAAAACATGGAAAACCTGGTAATTCTCAAGGATTTCTTTTATACCTGGAAAAATTAAGGAATTCTCATGGAATTTTATTGGGATTCAAGAAACTCTTTAAAAAATTTTTTCTTTGATAATTTCGCTCTTATATTGTAAGCAATCGGCAAGCTAAGTGAATTGTGTTTAAAATATATTATAAATATATATCTATCTCTTATATATTCAATGTCTTAACAAAATATTGACCTAACAGCACATGTTCAAAAAACGTCCAGAGGTCATCCAGAGGATGTAAAACATCCTGTGGATGAACATGTGTGTTGTTAGGGAAATATGTGATAAATATATATTTTTTTTGTAATTTTTAGTGATAAAAAAATGAAAATGTTATGCAAATAAAAAATGTTTATCTTAAAAAAGTTATTTAGTTTTTACAGTACATTTATAAATCTAGCACATGAAATTTAAGAGGTTCTGTGTTTTTCGTTTGTATGAATGAAAAACATTAGAAAACGCATATAAAAAAGAATTTATTTTAGAAAGTTGCACCAAAAAATCTTTATATTTACTTTATCTGAAATTTGAACTTTGAACTTTTAACAAAAATATCTGGAAAATCAAGGAATTCTCAGGGAATTTTTTTACAAGATTTGAGTAGACACCCTGTTATATCTTTGTTGAATAAAAAACATAATATATAAGAACTGTGAATTAGTTTTTTTAGAAAATTTAAATCTATTAATTCAAGCTATATTATTTTGTATTCAAATTAATGTATATGTGTATTTAGAATTAAATTCTTGTAAAATGTTAAAATAAATTATTTTTTAAAATTGAATTAAAATAATTATCAATTCATACAAATAGAAAGATTATCTGCGATTTTTCACGAACTATGATTTGAAAACGACGGAAGAAATATTGAACTTTATTTATTAATTCTGTAATTTATGATGGGATTTTTCTCCGTACGTATAAATTGGACGAAAAATGTAGCCGAATAGAATATATAACATTTTAACCGTATTATGTATAATACACTTATACATATATATGTCATGAGGTGAATTTTTGAAGAATTTGTATTCATGAACTTTTTTCGAAGTATTATCAATTCAACATTATTTTTGACATATAGGGTATCTTATGACGTAATATACAAACTGAAAAAATATGTTTATGTCATTTTAAGTAAAAAATGTCCTATAAACATTACACTTTCATTTTGTACATCATGTTAAGAAACACCCTGTATATTATTCGTTTCTCATATTCTCTTTAAAGTAAATAAGGAATTTCTTAAGAATATATGCAAATATTTTTTATACATATACTCTTTTTATATTAAAAACCCTGGATATAACAATATTAATAATCACATTGTCTCAATATACATGATAATTCCTTATCAACTTACTTTAAATAGACATGTGCATGTATATATNNAAGTCGAACATAGCCAAATGAAATATATATATATATATATATATATATATATATATATAATTCTACACTGCGTTATCCGACATAAAAGATAGAGAAAAGAAAAAAAGTAAACCGCCATAAGAATTTCTCTCTCTCTCTCTCTCTCTCGATTAAAAAACCTGAAAAGCTCTGTATATATACCTCTACATGGATAAACAGGTCCTGTGTTCACTATCACAGCAATTAATGTAGGCAGCAGATTTCGGTTGAGAAAAGAATCTTGATCGAAATTTACACGAGAGTCAACAATTGAGAATACTCTGACGACTGAAAGGTACTGAAAAAAAAAAAAAAAAACTCACTAGCACCCAACGGCTCCCCACCACTCCAGAGTACGGTAATTCTGAGTCCATAAAATTGAATTGTGATTTTCATTCCTTCTCTGTCCCTCTTTCAATCATTCTTTTGCATGACTCTATGTACATTATATCAATTCAAACGATATTTTACATGAATCTGCCTGAAGATTCTTTATGCTTTACTTTGGTAATTTTTTTCAATATCGATCCTTCCTTTTTGCTTTTCTCTTTTATTCTCTCATTCTCTTTCTCTTTTCGTTTATAACGAATCCACTTGCTGTTCCACTGATTGATCACTATGGTTCTCACTGACGTGCTCTATTTGTTCGATCGGTTGTACCGCACTTTGTTGCGCTGAATTTTCAGCTGGAATGGGTGCATCATATTCACACTGTTCCTCCCGCTGCTTTAGCGCTAAATCGTCATTAGAGAAATGGTCCGCGCGATCAATTTCGTAAAGATTGGCTCGACTCTCGTCATTTCTGTAGCTTATCTCGCGGTTGCCCTCGTCGTTCGATATACTCGCCAACTCGTTTTCTTTACCGCGCATCGCATCTTGCTCGCAAGCTGTCAGCTCTTGCTCTCTCTGCATTAGGAGAGCATGCTGATCGACGGTACAAGATAAAGTGTCGAAGTTATCCTTCGTTTCCAGTTCCTCACCGTCGTCAGCAGATGCTTTCGTCTTGTTCTCGGCATCTTCCGACGGCGGTATCTCGTCATCTATCAAGGGTGGACTAACGTTACCCCATCTAGACTTGCGGTTCCGATTGCGATTCTCGGATATATTTTTGTAATCCTGGTGCTTCGCTAGAAGCTTTTGCTTGTCCCGTGGTGGTAAATGATTTTCTCGCTGTCCATGTGCGTCAGGGTCCTGTCCGGACCATGACGCGGGCGGTGGTCCACTGCCCCCTTCCTGATTTCTCCACGGTCCGTCCGGGCCGTGCATAGCTGGCGGGCCCATCGGGCCGAACGGCGGTCGGATATGCGGCCCGGGACGACCGCGCATCTCGTCGAATGGTGGCCGGAAAAAGGAATCTGCTTCCCTGGGATCAAATGGCGGGCCTCGGGGCGCAAACGGCGGCCTCATCCCAGGTCTCATACCCCTCGGGCCCATTCCCCGCGGATGGAACATCAGAGGACCTGCAAAAGACCGCGGCAAGATGACACATGCACGAGGAATAAACGCACGCAATTATATATTTATAATTATCGTAATTAATATTTTCATTCGCTTTATACATCTTATCATTTTATGTATCAATTTACACGTACACTTTATGTTTCGTGTGTTTTTTTTTAATATTATAGACGAAATGAAAGGATTGAGTAAACGAAAATTCTAATATCCAAAAATTCATGAAAGAGTATATAAGAGTATATGCACATGCATAAAAAATTTATAAAATATAAGGAAATTTATAAAATAAAATTTATAAAAGTTTTTTTATATCTTACAAATATTATATATATTTTGTATAATATGAAATTTCTGTACTCAAATAATTTGTTATTATTATTCTTCATCCTCTTTTTCCCTCCCTTTCCTCTATCTCTAGCTAAACTGTTTAAAAACATTAATTATTATAATACATGTATCATGTTTTTTATATCATCATGTTTTCAATATATATACATGTATATGTTATATAAACTTTAACTGACTACTATTACAAAATATAATTTGAATGCTTTAATTAATAAATATATATTCATCTATAAATCGGAAGTTTTTAATGCTCTATTTTCCAGATGATATATAAAATATTAATATAATAATAAAAATTGCACATTTTGAAAGTGGAAACACACTAAAAGTTCCAATATATACAAATATGAAAAAAGTGTTTATAACGGGCAATAGGGAGTCGGCGCAGTAAGCAGGGCGCAAAAGATTAAATCGTCAAAAATCCGTTTATTATAAAATTGGACGTTTCGGTCTCGGTTTAAACCATCTTGTTAATAAATTAGATCTAATGCGTATCGCAACCTTCGCGCGACTCACAGCACTCCACAGCATATTCGACGCGAAGAACCTCACTAACGGTTCCAGCCATTATGAAGGTGATGTACCGGGCGGGAGGGTGCAGATACCGACAAAGTATCCAGTCCGAAACGCATTATGCATCGGACAACCGCGAGCCATGAGAGGCCGAGACTGCAACCGTAATATCAGAATCGTACAGTCTTCGCTGTTCGTCAGTCACTGTCACTGTCAGAGTCGCGCAAAGATTGCAATGCGCATTAGATCTAATTTATTTATTAACAAGCTGAAGATGATCTAAACCGAGACCAAAAAGTTCAATTTGATAATAAACGGAATTTTTGACGATTTAATCTTTTGCGCCCTGTTTATTGCGCCGGCTCCCTATCGCCTATTATAAATTTTTTTTTTTAAGGTTAAAATAAGCATGTCTCAATATTCTGAAAAAAATAATATCGCTAAAAATAATTACTGTGTATATTCGTCCTGTACGAAATATGCCAATAATATAGAACTCCATATATACAAACAACGCATTCCTTGCTAACAGAAAAACAATATAAAACAATCACAAAAAAAGGGATAGAAGTCTTACCGGGTCCCCTAGATCCGCGCGGTCCAAATCCATCGGGTCCAACCGGTCCTCTTGGCCCCTTTGGACCCATCAATGGTGGCATACCGAACACAGGTTCCATCGGGCCACCAAAGAACTCCCTTCTGCGAAGTTCGAAATCCGGCCGCTCGTTATGAACCCTGGGATCGAAGCCATCCTGCATCCGCGGATCGAATCCATCGCGTCTCATCTCGTATTCGAAACGCTCGCGCTCGTATTCATCCACAGGTGGTCTACGGGTGCGCACTTCCGGTCGTTCAAACTCTTCACGAGCCGGACCCAGCCTGGCTGGCGGAAAGTCATCAGATCGAGGCCCGTTGTGACCCAATCTGCTTTCGTAGTCCTCCGGAAACATGCCAGGCTGCATCCTGGGATCCAGAAAGTCGTCCATCTGCGAGCTTCTTGGACCACCACGCGGCGGAAAATTCTGTCGATCAGATCGATCGGTTAGGCCGCGCTGCGGAAACTCCCGCGCATCCTGCGGTCCACCTCGGAAATCTGGTCCTCGCGGAAAATCTGTCCGATCTGGTGGCAAAACTCCGCTGAACTTCGGCAAATCCATCAGTGAGATCGGCATGTCGCTCGGTGGTCGCCGTACACTACCACCACCACCACTTCCTCCTCCTCCTCCTCCTGCTCCCCCTCCTCCTCCTCCTCCTCCTCCTCCGGGGCTCTCCTCGAAACCTCTGTCGTTTCGCTCGTTACTGCGCTCGACTGTTCGGTTGCCGCGTACATTCCTATCTATTCGGTCGTCCAATGGCAATGTACCATCCGCCAATTGTCGCAGTCGATCAGCCAGACTAGGCTTGCCTTCTTTCTTCGCCATGCCTTCGCTTTCTTGGACGTTTTGATTTTGTGTGCTCAGTCCCTCCGAATGCCTAGCGCCACTCTCCCTGGCCTCTCGGTTCTCTCTGTCACGTCTGTCATCCCTCTCCCTGTCGCGACCATCGCGATTGTCTCTCCGCCTATCTCGACCGCGATCCCGTCCTCGTCCTCTGTCCCTACTACGATCCATCCTACACTCGTTCACGTCCATACGATCTGCGCGATCCCGATCGCCTCGATTTCTCTCCCTATTCTCTCGATCGCGTTCTCGTTCTTTGTACTCACGAGCTTGATCGCTATCCAGACGACTGTCGTTTACATTGCTACCCATATTCATCGCTGCGATTAGCTGATCGCTAAGGTTCGGCTGCTTATCTTTGAGTATGTTACTACTCAGGCTCTGCGGCATCGCGTCCTCCATCTCCACGTCCATGTCGTCAGAATGATGCTGTTGTTGAGGTAGTTGCATCTGCATCGGCGGCGCCGGACCCACTCCGTACGGCTGCCGTAGCATTGGAAGATTTGGCATACTTGTCTCCGTCGTGGGTGGCGGTACTCCGATCGGTGGAACGTTGTGTGGCATACCTGCAATATTTTCGGATCTCCTTGTATCCTGTTTGGCTGTAATTAGCTGGCGCGCTTCGATGGGTATTAAGTTATTCTCATTGTGAATTCAATTGCAAGTTAAACCTGAGAATATGTGATTGCACTAACATCGGTTAGGGCTAGTAATCAATTCTAATGATCTCTAATCTTTTCTCTCTTTGTTTATATTATACAAAGTGTTCCTAAAATCCGTTCCCGCCCCCTATATTTCGGAAACTTCAAAGTTACGATCATTTCAAGAGACTACTCTTTTAAAAAGATTGGGGGTTGTCCCTCAAGGCTACATTAAAACAGAAAACCGATTTAGGTAACACCAGATTAAATGATTTTCCGAACATACAAAGAATTAAATATATTTATTTTTTTTTTAATTAATAATATATAATAATGTAATTTTTCATACTTTAGTAAATAATTATTTAATTAGTAATTTTTCTGTAACAGAGCAGAGAATACTATAGTTAATTTTTCATAATATGTCTCTCAAAATACAACTAATAATTTGTAAGAAAAATGCTTATTCGAGATACTAAATCATTAATTTTTATACGAATACTAAATAAAACTCCTTAAATCCAGGATTGATTAAATTGGGAGAAAAAAAATTCTCCGTTTTCTGAACGGTATGGAATATAACGTTCAGCAATTGCATTAACAGATGCCACCAAACCATGGGGTTTGTTCTATTATTCTTGTTCTTTCGTGCCAAATGAGAAGGATGGGGATGGATTACTCTGTTAATGATGTTTTTGAAAATTCACAAGTTAAAAAAAGAATTTCGGGGTAAGTCTTAATGATCATTTTATCATAAGGTAAGGTAAGGTAAGGTTTTATCATGGGTAAGTCATAAAGCATCATTTTTAATTTAACAAAGTTTTTTAGGTGCCCTTTTCGACCTAAAAAACAAAAACCTCAAGGTCAAATATCTTTTTGAATTTTTTTTTCGGAAAGGATTTCAAAAGGCAAATACTTTTCACACACTTTCCAAATGGAAGTAACAATTTTGTGAAAATAGACCTTTTCCAAACTTTGGCCTCCAATAACTTTCGAATGGGTCAATGTATCAACCTTTGATTTATGCCAAAATTTTATTTTTTTATGTCCTTTCAAATGATGTATTACAATATCGGAGAAGATCCTATTTAAAATTTTTGATTTGAAGTTTCCCTGAGATATCCCCATGATAGGGCAGCTCTCCAACATCTTTAAAATAATAACCCCTTGAAATGACCGAACATATGTTTCACAGTTTTTTGTAACTTTGAAGTTTCCGAGAAATATAGAAGATGAAATTTTAGAGACACCCTATATTAATATTATGTAGAATGTTTTTAGAACTCTGCCAAGATAAGAAAATATTATCCTATTATTGTGTTTTATAATTTAAAATTGTTTCATGAAAAAATACAAAATATGAGCCAAAATTACAAATTTGTAGTAACATTTATATATGTAACATTTGTAGTAACATTTATATTTATAATATTTATATAATTTCCACTCTCTAAGAGAGGTTGAAATTTTGTCATTTTCTCACTTCTTATATATATTTGTTTATGTATTATACGTAGTACTATAATTTCAAATTTAACAAAAAAATAATAAATAAAATATCTTATAACATTGTATACAATCTTACGATAAATGTAAAATACTCTGTATATAATTGTAGAAAATAATATAGCTATTATAGAGAAATGTTTGGCGACTATTTATATTGTGTCAACGATATCACTTATTGTTTACATACCAGTGGAGTTTGGCTTATCCGAAGGTGCTGCAGCAGGTGCGGGCATCGGGATTTGCGTCAATAAACTTACACCAACACCTGCCCCGAATGGCGGGTTAACCGATGATGTCAACATAGTCTGCATCATACCCGGTGGTCCCAACAAACTCTGCATGTTAGGCGGCGGAACTCCGATCGGGACATTGGGCATTAATCCGTGTGTCATTTGTAGGCCCATGTGACTAATCATTCCTGTAAGATTATTCATGACATCTAAGAATTGTGTTATATCAAAAAGTCGTAGCGGTTTTTACCTGTTATTTTACTATACATTTGTATATTCGGATATATTGAAATATTATTCAAGTATTAAATTATATATATCATTATATGTAACACTTTGCAAATCTGTTTCCATCATAAGTAAAAGCATACTCGTCAAAAGTTGTCAATGATAAAGAAAGATCATGCATATTCGTGTAATATTAACAAACAAAATATAAATAAAAATAAAAATAAAAAAGTAAATCTAAATAAAAAAGTAATTTAAATTTGCAATATTTTTATATTCTTCATAGAGACGTTAATCCATTTGTATTGACATTTTTTAAAAAGCTACAATTATTTTTTAATTTTATAAGTTTTATAAAGCTCTTAAAAATGTTTTACAATATAATGCATGTGTATAACTTAAAAGAAATGAGTAAAAGACTTATATTCAAGGAATGTTGCAATAATAAATATCAATGTGGTAAACTCACGTGGCACTCCGGGCATCGTAAAGGCCGGCGGCATCATCTGCAATTGCGTATTCGGAGGTGGTAATAGCGCAGCCGATGTTGGCGGTCTGATTGGTGGCGGTTGGCTGGTGTCGACTAATTGCTGTTGCTGTTGCTGCTGCGAATTAGCCGACGATTGTATAACGTTCACAATACCGTCGGTTAACGTGGGAATGGGAGCACCAGCGGCAGCGACAAGTGCTTGCTGTTGCAGCTGCAGCTGTTGTTGTAAAATATCAGCGCTGGTGCCAGCGTGCTTTAGTTTTCCTGTGACACAAAAGAGAAACAATTTTAAAATCCATAATAGATTATAATATATATATAGAGTGCAATACATGATGTAATAAATATATAGTACAAAATGTATATCACACATTTTCTTCCAAATGTTAGCAATCATTTGAAAAGAATACACTGGTATCAAAAACATTTTTATTAAAATAAAATTTGTTTAAAATTTGCTTATGACCAATCTAAATTACAGGGCTTTAGTTTGGCTTCAATCATTTGATTTTAATCTCGCAAGTCGGTTCAAGTTACACATCACTTTAATCTACACATGTAACTAAATTAAAACTTGCATTTTAGAGAACTCTTTGTACTATTTATACTTGATTAACAAAAAAATAATAATAAATTATAAAGATAAAGCAAATCTGAATTACTAACACGAGTATTTCTTTTTTATTCTTCAGACCATTCTTTCAACTGAGTTGCTTATCTTACACACAATATATATCACAATATATATTTGTTTCTCTCTCTTTCTTTATATATATAGAGTGGGTGCGAAATCGTTGTACAAGGACAGGGTGATTCCTCGTGCCAAAATAAATCAAAATCGTAAAATAATTTTTTTTTTTTTTCGTATGAGGCTTCGGTTTTCGAAATAAATGATTTTGAAAATCTATCAAGTACACGTGTGCTTGACTATCCCTCAACTAACGGATCTTGCTATAGATTGCTATTTCTGTTTGTATTTATGTTTGTGGACATCGGTAATAAATCTTTTAATTTCTTACTTTAATTTTACTAAAGAAACTGTTGGCTTCTGTAGCCTCATATGAAAAAAAATTATTCTACAATTTCGACTTATTTTGGCACGAGGAATCATCTTGTTCTCGCTTATACTATGATTTCGCACCCACTCTGTATATATATACATACAGTGTTTCATATAAAGTGTTACAATATGTTTCCCCTGAAACTTGAAACGTTGTACAAAAATGTTTAAGACAAAATTTGTAGGGTTTTAAGGGAGATAAGGGTTGATAATCTTGAATTTTAAGTAAGGTCATTTTTTTTAAAATCATGTAAAGATAAACCTAGTTTAAAAAAAAATGGAACTACCTACTTTCTTGTAATATTAAGCATTAAGAATTACAAAGGTAGGATGGTCCAAAATTGAATAGTTTATGAGATATTTCATAATTTATATAAAATTATGCCAAATTAAGGTGTAAAATATCTAGTAAACTATTCAATTTTTGGTTATTCTACTCTTATAACTTTTAACACCAAATATTGCATCAATTTGTATAAAAAAATTATAATAATTCCATTAAAATAAATTAGGTTTTTATCTTCACATGACTTTGAAAAATGACTTTCAATTCAAGATTATCATCTTTTTCTCTCTCAAAATCTTATAATTTTTTTTCTCTGAAACATTTTTTTGTACAACTCAAATTTCGGAGGGAACACTTCGTATACTATATGAAACACTCCGTGCGCGACTCACATATACACGATTGAAATTGAAAAAACGCACCTTTTAAATAGGGAGGTAATGTATCTTCATCTATCATCCCGCCTTCTTCCAACAGCTCCAAGTCTTGATCAGTAATGTTAATTAATTTATTCCAAGGTATGTAACTGACGCCCAGTTCTACTTCCCAATAATCTTTCCATTCCTTGCCTTTTACGCCTTTACCAGGCGCCCACGCTAACTGTAATTGAAACAGATATGCTGTGTGCGATAAAATATTTCAATGTTACTCAAGTTGTGTGTTGCAAACAATTATTTACCGTAATAGCTTTGCCTTGCATTTTGTGATTTTTTAACTTTGTAAGCGCCCGATATGCATCCTGCCTTCGATTCATACATATAAATGCACAACCTCTCGGTGAGATTAAGTCAATACTAACAATATCGCCAAGTTCCCCGAATGTATCAGACAATTCTTCTTGATGTACCAGTTTTGATAAATGTCCTACCCAAAGTGTTGTACTGCAAACTATGTTTTAAAAGTGCATTTATTATTCTTTTCTAATTTAGACGAGATGAATAAAAGAGGTATAAGAATCTTTTTCATTTTAGGATACATACCACTTAATTTATCTCTGACTATCGGTGGTAAGCCGCGTTTGCGTCGCTCTCTTTCTTTCTCCCGTTCTTCTTCTGTTAACTTTTCTCGGCTATCATCACGTTTCCTATCGCGCCCTCTGTCTCTTGAACGAGATCTATAAGAAAAAAAAATATATATACATATTATATAATATCAAATTAACAATATGAAAATATATATTTAGATCAATTTTTTTTCTCATATTATCAATTTAATATTTCTTAAACTCTAATTATAAACACAATTAATAAATTAATTTGATATAATTTTAATCAATTACCTTCTTCGCCGCGATCTACTTCTAGAACGAGATTTTCTATCTCTGTCTCGATCTCTGTCTCTGTCTCTATGTCGTGGGGACCGAGACCGACTGTGATGCCGATACCGTTCTGGCGATCTACTTTGTGAGCTCGTATTCTCGCAATTTACAATTTCTACACTGCTACTATCACGTCTAGCGTTATTTCTGCAAGAGATACTCATTTAGATTATCAAGAGAATAATCAAGTGATTTATCAAGAGAATTAAAACTATTTTAATTATAATGATTTACCCAGAATAATCTTGCGTTTCTTGACGTTCGTCAAGTAAAGGACTCTTTTGATTCTGATGTGCAGATTGATTGATTTGTCTAATATTTGGTAAAGATTGCGACGTAAATGGCAGAGCTGGCGGATAGCCAGGTGGTGGTTGACTCATATCTTGTAACACATTGCTATTCACATTTGATGCATAACTTTGGGTATTTGGTTTTAAAATATCAGAAGGCTTTAATTCACATTCAGATGCAAATGGAAGATTCTAAAATGGAAGAAAGGATTTGAGATAAAACACTATTTTCTTGTATACCTTACAAGAAATATTTAAAAAAAATAAAATTACAGGAACAGTTTGTGCTAAATGTTTATCAAATTCTTCTTCCTGTTGTTTCATTTGTTGAAGCTTGCGCATTTTTTCTTCCATTTCGTGTTGTGAAGAAGAAGCGTTGCTTTGCATAGTTTGTTGTAAAGTTTGCAATTGTCTTAAAACCTTCAAATAACACATAATATGAAAGCAAGATATTAAAGTTTCATATTGCTTTTAATTTTTGATATTTGTTAAGTACCTCTGGATTTGCAAGCAACAGTCCCAGGCTTTCTAGGCTACTATTTGTTGAAACCGCATTGTGTTGAGTATTGACCAACGCGGTTGCGTTTGGAGAATTAGCAATAACGACATCATCGTCTTCTTCTTCACCGTAATCAAAGTCTAGCAATTTCTTATCAAACTTGACTGAACTTTTAGGTTCATTTGCAACATCCTGCTTTTTCAAAAGTAATTGCTGTAAACATTGTAACTGATCGAAAATAGAAGAGTCCATTTGACCGGAGTTAGATTGACTCTGTATAAAGAAACAATCAAATTCAATAAATGTTGATCAAACCCATAATGTCAACATAACATTGATATTACCAAAAGTTTATTGGCATTAACTATATTCGCCGCTTCTACTTTTGTTTGCGCAAGCCATACAGGATCGATCGTTTTTCCAGTTGAAAATAGTTTTGAATCCTTTACAACATTTTTAATAGCAGATGGCGGAGTCTTAGTGACTGCGCTTACATTACTTATATTATTTCCAGATGATGTATTTAATGTACCTAGCAATATTAAAATATTAATTAGATTTATTAATATTAATTAAGATTTAAGATTTAATTTAAAAAAAAATACAGACATCTTCCAAGACATACACTGTTGCATCTACATTACAAGGAATACTTTTTATTCAACTGTATTTTTTCTGTTTATATTTACCATTACTATTTACTGGCTGCTCCTTATGTATTGGATGATTTGGATCTGCCAGATCAAAGAGTGGTTGAATAACTTCTGGTGGGAAAACCGCATTCTTTTGCCAAAGATTCAGTACACGTATAACTTTGCTTTTATCCTCTTGTGGGCACTTTAAAAGATTGAGAAAGGTGGTCTGCATATTTTTCGCAAACCGTGGAGCAAATACATCTTTCTCCATTCCAAACTGATGTCGAGATTGTCTGACAATTGAATCTATTACATATAGTCCCGGTACTTTATATTCTGCCTTGCACTAAACACATACAGAATAAAGTTAGAACATATATGAATATATTACTGTTAAAAAAATAATAATAATTTAAATAAATGTTTACCTTTTGAATAAATTTTTCCACACTTTGTACAACATGCTTATAGAATTTTATTGCTTTGATGGCTCCCCGTGTAAGTGAATTCATTTTGGCTTTTGAAATTGGTGGTTTAACATCGTAAAGAGCGGACAGCTGTAATCAAATTATAATTAATCATATTTATCAGTACTATAAAGCACTATTTGTATATCAATTTTCATCAACTTTTCTCTTCTAGCATAACTGTGATGTAAAGCGCAGCGCTTATTCTAATAGAAAATAAATATTCTATCTGCTATTGAAGCTAGTAGTGCATTCAAGGATAAAGAGAGAATCTCCAATATAGCATAACATAGTATGTGGTATATCTAATATAGTATAAGAATATAACTCAAAACATAGCTTGTATCTTATTATCCTATAGCGCTAAAGTACAGAAGACAAGGATCGGGCAAAGCGAGTCGGACTGAAAACAAAGCTTGAGAAAAGGGAAAACTGCCCCTACGACGGTGACCTCCGAGACGTGCGCGTACGAGCGGAGAGGCCCCCTCCGAAGAGTGTCGCTTACCTCCGCGTTGAACGACTTCACCGCATCCATCTTGAGGCAAAAGAGGAGTCGTCCCTGTCGTCGTCGTTAAATCTCACGCAACGTAATGCGATGTCCGCTTTAAGACTCGCATGTCTCCTTCACCGCGCACTATGTAGCCGAGCCATACCGTCCAAGATGGCGAATCGTGTTCCCGATATGCATCGCGAGACGGCCGAAGCGTGACGTCACACCTGTCGTCCGCCCGGTCGGTAACGTTGGAAAGATATCGATCGGCATCTATGATGATTGAGAGATCAGAGTGATCGCTGTAGATTTTTCAAAATGACGTTTACATAAATTGTTTACGTATTGTCCACATGATGTTTACATGGTCTTTTTCATATAAAAGTAAAAAACAATAATTGCATTATAAAATAGAGTAATATAAAATATATATAATATTACCCATACTAGTTACGATAGTAAGGCCGGTATTCATAGTTGTTCGTTCTTATATTTATTGAGATCGTTTTAAGTAATAATATCTTAAATGTTATATGGCCACTTTATTGGCTGAATGGAATGTTAAGATGACCCAAGATCATACTTAAGATGATTTTAAATATAAGAACGGATTAATAAATACCAGCCTTCAGTCAAATGCCTTTCGGCATTTTGATGAGTGGTTTGCGAATCATATAACATACCGTCATATCCTTAGTTATAAAAAGCACCAAATTTTAATATAAATATTGTAAAATTAAAAATATTAAAAATAAAAGATAATTATGCATATTAGGGCCGACCTCGGTCGGCGACCTAGATGAGCCATAAGTTATGTTACGAATCAATTTTTTGATAAGACTGTACAGCAGTTATCTCTCTCGGCATGCGATAGTGCTGCTGGCGGGGTGTATATCAATTGGACACAATGCTTATTGGCCACTTGAAAATAAGGTTCTTTGATTGGTCAATCATGCTGGTTACCCTAAGCACTGGTCGGTATGAGTAGTTGTGTCCAATCGCACTGTGTCCAAATGAACTTCTCCTCTGCTGGCGTTTATTCCAGTATTACTATAATTCAGTGATGTATACTGGAATTTTATATTCTGATTTTTGGCTACTGTTGTAACTAAAGGGAACTCCCGTTTGACCATGTCCCGATTGACCACAGCCACTCATATCGACCGGTGCCTAGGGTAACCAGCAACGATTGACCAATCAAAGAGTCTTATTTTAAATTGGCCAATTCGTGACGTGTCCAATCAGACTCCATCTATAACTGGTTAAACTGTGGCATAGAAAGATTGTAAACATACTGCAGAATAATTTTATTGAAACATTGCAATATTGCAAATCAGTTGCGAAACGTTACTGTACCATTACTGTAAGATTGTTGCAACATGATGTTCGCTTTTTATAATATTGCAACGAAACGTTGTAGCAATATAATTACATCGTAATGTAATATATTTGAAAAAACCTGGGAAAAAATTTTTATATACAATCAAATATAATTATGTATAAATTAGCCATACATGATCATATATCGAATTTGTCTTTGTATAAATGTACATATAGACAACCATGTATAACTATATATATGTATGTATATGTTGATCGTCTTAAGTTAATCAACGATATTAAACTAATATATACCATATTGGAGCCGTGTTCCGAAATTCACTGCCAGTACTAAAAATATCTATAGCTTATGTTACGTATTTAGAGATTTCTAGTATTAGCAGTGAATTTCGAAACACGTCCTGAAACGCGTACGGTCATGCCGTAAAATATATATATAAAGATACATTTTTCACTTTCATCTATCTTTTAACTCACTGCCGAAATAGAGTTTGTTCAAGTTGATTTAAGAGTAAATTCTTAATATATAAAAATACAAATTAAATTAAATTAAAAGTATAAGTCGATATTAGAAAGGGTCTATTTATGTCAATTTAAATCATTAAATAAAAAAACATTATATTGTGAAGTAACACATTTTGTCTTTCATTCTTGATCAATTTTGTTATTAAAACTTCACTAATAAGGATACCTTAAAAATTAATAATTTCAAGCATAAATTCTCATTATAAATTCATGTGTTTACGTATTTAAAATATATTATTTCTTTTTAGCTATATTTGTATTATATTCTACGCATTGCTTGTGTGTGTGTGTTATCATGTTTCATGGAAGACGAAAAGAGAGCATCTGTTTGAAATTGAGTGCAATAGTAATCGTTACGCCAAAAATTCGTACCACATTTGGGTCTCATTGAAATTATTGTTAAAATCAAAATTGAATTAAAATTGATTTGCAATGTACATTAAATAAAACTAAAAGCAAAAGAGAGTGGGCTAGAGTAAGAGCGCTGTAATCAATGTACAAACAAAAGTACCAAAATATATTTAAACCAGTATTACATAATCAAACGAATAAATTAAAGCTTCTTCCATGGATATACACGTAGATCAATTTCGTTCGAATAAATAATAGCATCAATAGATGCTAAAAATGTGTGCGTGTGGATGTAGTGATGGTGTGGGAAAGCGGTCACCAAAAGAGGGCACAACTGATGCTTCGCTCGCAATATCTGAATTTCAAAGAGAAACATATTTCGAGGATATTGAAAATCCTTGGGAAGGAGCAAAGTTGCAGGAACAGTCGTAAAGAGTGCGGCGATTCGAAAAGGCGAGCGCTATATAAAGAACGTGGCGATTCGACCAGCGAAATCAAAAAAGGAGAATTTCTCCAGCACAAGCGCAGAGAATCTTTGACAACGCCTCAAAGAACGCTCTCTCTGCGAAAGTTTATAATAATCTCGTTTTACAAAAATAAAATTCTAAAAAGCTTTATGAAATTTCTTAGATTTCTTTGATTTCATTCTAAGAAAGATCAAAACCTAATATTAATTTTTCAATATATTGCAGTCATCTTCAGGTCAACAATGAACTCCGACCGATGAACATCGTCACCAAAGACATTCCCGAACACGATCAATACTCGATATACTGCCGACCAGTGCGGAAAAAAGAGGAATAAGGCTGCGAGAGACAAGGATCTCGAGGATGAAATCTCGTCATTGACGATGGTGGTGGCGACAGCGGATCGACAGTAATTGGAGTCTGCCACCGGCCGCGAACTTTGAACTTTCGAAAAATAGTTACACGACCGCGGAGAATCGATAACGTGACGAGTGGCGAGATATCTAGACGAAGTTCAGCGCATTTAATCGCAACGTTTCCACATCGACCGCGACCACGTCGGATCCATTAGCAAAATGATTGTCGAAAGATAAATTTCGTGAACCAATCATTCTTGCAGTATGTCAATTTTTAAAATAGTCGCAGATGCTTTTGTCATTTGTTGACCTTACCCTGAGTTGCAGTGGGGAGATGAAAACCACCTACACGGATATGATGAATCTTGTTATGTATATGTATGTGTGTGATTGATGCGTTGAAATATATAAAAGAAATATCCGTCAATGAATTGGATTTTAATTGTACGTTAAAAGTGAGAAAGATACATTGTCTTCGTGGTCTCTTTGGTAAAGAATTAAGACGAGAATCTCGTCAACTTCGGTCGCTTCGAAATTATTTATAGTCAGATCCACGAGTAAAAGAAAACGGAAAAGTTGCATAAACCCGTCGATCTCGCAGTTTCCGCCAACTCTATAAGGAAAAAACTTTCTCTTCAAGGATCTTTCTATAAAAAATATCGAACAAATATCTATGCAAGAAATTATTTTTTTGAAGCGCGAAATAAAATTAATGGAAGACTATACCTTAGCTGAAAAAATTCTTTTATGACTTCAACGCACAAAATCTTGCAAATTTGTATTTACAATATAAATATAATTAATGATATGAAAAATGATAACAAAGATATAGATAATTATATATCATCATCAAGATTTATCAGCAATACATTCTTAAATTTTTGCGATTTTAAAACCGCAACCAATATTCATATAATATAACTTCTATCTAGGATCGAAGACTTTGATCGACATCGATCAAGAAAAACAGATTCGATCATCATCAAAAAGAAAATTACAATGTTTTTGAAATTTTTAAACAATGTTTACAACATAATAGTCTCCGCATAAGTCTGAAACTATTCCGCATTGAGGAACTTATTGAATGAAAAAACTAAAATTCATTATTCTGAAACCACGTTAAATGAGACGAAAAAAGTCCTAATAATTCAAAAAATTAACATGATCACATGATAAGATCAGATAATAAAACTGTGTTTAAAAAGGAGTTCGCGATAAGACGCCCATGAAGTTCATGAATATCAAATGAAAATCAAAATACTTGACGAAAGGGATATTGCTTTCAACAAATGCTTGTGATCAGACGATTATAGCGCGCATTTAAACGAGACGAAGGTCACAAAAGTTGTGCAGGAGAGGCTGCTGAACGCGATAAGAGTGTGTTTCGACTTTAGCGGTAAACAAGCCAAAGAATGATCAATCATATCGGTCTTGAATAAAAACGGAAATTGTGACGACGGATTTCCCGAGACATTTCTGTTCAATGTTTTGACACTTTTCGGAAAACAAATGCGGATTTTCGTCTGATATCAGGCAATCTTGAAATGATTGTTATTAAGATGCCATTTCAGAATTTTAAAAAACTATGGCAGAAGAATTCTCGAAGAGATGTGAATATATGAAGGAAGCAGGTGCATTTTTGAAAATAATTTTAATTGACTTCAAAAGATCCATTATATTGAAAAAACAAATAAAGATTTTAAAATCTCTTAGAATTATCAAGAAAAACATAAATTTCATGATTATGACATTTCAATAATTCAATCAAAAAATTTTGTAAGACATTCACAGGTAATTAACAGATGATCATTATTCGATGAATCTTTTCGATTATTCGATGAATCGATCTTGATTTTCATCGAAAAAAGTCACTATCCGAATCATATCTCAGGTAGTGTTTATAATTTATTTATTTCAAAGAATAGTATTGATAAAAATCATCAAATTGCATCATATTTTTGTAAATTTTAAATGAGTTTAATATTTTTAATGAAAATGAAGCTAGATCAAAGGATCCTGCACACTCCTTATGGAAAATCGGCTTCTGATGGACTTTATTTAAACTTTAGGATCTTGTAATTTAAATAATTACGTTGAAACAAATGTTTTTGTCGTCTGTATATATATATATATAATAATTGTAACTGCAAATG